GAAAAAAACAAGAGCAATGCTTGGAACACCACTCTCCAGCCAATACTTCCATTTTCATTGGGCCACGTTATGTTGGTTTCCAAAGAGGTCATCAATTCATGGCTAATTAAGCTTGGGTGGCCCAGTAAAGAAGCATTTGTTGGCTAGAGAGTGCAGGAGGCGAGTGCCCTTAGCAGCTAACATTGCCCAAAAAACAGTTAGTACTGCCCAAAAACCAACACCAATCACGTGTCAACATACTATCCACTAAAAAGAGTACCCCTTGTCCCCTCCATTGTTTCACACTTTCACCTTCTTCGCCTTATCATCTTCTTCCTTTTTCTACCATTTTTCTACATTCAAGCTCACTTCCTGATCCTTATCTACTCCTTTTCTGGCAACAAATTTTATCCTTCTTTGCTTGAGCAGTGAGTAGCAGCAACCAAATCCTACTATTTAAGGTTGGCTCCACATGATTGGGGTCACCAAATAGATTTCCATCCCGCCAGTGCGTGAGATGTGAGCAGTGGTAGTGAACAGCGGCACGCCGGCACCGTAGCAACCCAAAATCTTTCCCTCCCTTGTGGCAAATTTTTGGAAATCTCTTCTTCAATTTTTGTGAAAGTGAAATTGAGATTTCAAACGATTTTACGAAAAAATCACGCTTTTACGTTTTTATCATCCGATTTTATGAAAATCTGATTTTAAAGTCGATTTTACTCGGCATCCATACCTAACATCGTAAAATCTTTTTACGATATAAAACGCGATTTTGACAACACTAGTGTCATCACCCGGGGGCTATAAATACCTCCACTTACCTCCGTTCAACGTAATAACTCCACTATGCTTCTCTCTGTGCAATTACTCCTTAAAGCTTATCTCTCTAGAATATTGAGTATTGCTAACTTGAGCATCAGAGTGTCTCCCCCAAGGAAACATCCTCAGGTTTTTCAGGTGTTAAAGCAGTTGAAGATCTCTACAGTGTAGGTTTGTAAAGCTGCCCAAACAATTACATCTACTACGGCTACATGAGACATCCTATCATTCCTTTGGACTGGGAACTTGACACCAGGCACACATAAAAGTTTGGGGGCCACCATGTCACAGCTATATTTGTTTATCTTCTTATCCTAGCTTTTCCAAGACTCCTCTTACAAGCAAGGTACAACTTTAGTTCAACTTTATTCCGTTTCTCCTTCTGTGCATAGCATATATACCTTCTGAGCGTACACTTGTAGAACGACAGAACTTCTCTTAATACTTTTCTTATTCACTTCTTGCACTACATACCACAATCCATGGCAACAGCCACCACCCAGCCCTCTAAATCATAGTAGATGGTCAAAACTCATGACCACAAAATGTTCTCAGCATCTAATGACATTGTCATGATGAAGCAAATTCAAGCAACCCATTGCCCTGATGGTCGTCAAGTTGATGTCAAGCCCATTCTCCATATCATTGAGTACATTCTTCGTTGGGTCACACCTAGCATTGATGGTGTTTTGAATGTAGAGCACCTTTTCTCTATTTTACATAGGTTTATTAATTTTGTCGTGCTTTTGACAACTATTAGTTCTAATTACAGTTCCTGATATTTGAATCTTTTTGTAAGGCACTCATGAACATACTGAATCACTAGATGACAAGACCAACTTGGCTGCTTTTGATGGAATGCTTAAAGCAATGGCTTGTATTATATAAAAAGTTTCCTACGAGGTTATTTTGATTTTTGCACTTATAGATTTCTTCCGCTTTCTACTAATTGAATTCTCTTGTCCTTTAGATATAGTGATGGTGATTGTGTTTACATATTTTTTGCAAATTTCATGCAAAAGCTCAGGAGGAGGAGGAGATGCTCATGGAACAACAATGGCACTTTTCCACGTGCTTTCAAGCTACTCATGGGATGCACAAGTGGTGCTGATTCTAGCAGCTTTTTTTGGTGAACTATGGAGAGTTCTGGCTTGTTGTTTAGCTATATACCTCAAACTCACTTGTTAATTCAGTGGCTCTTCTTAAGCAACTTCCAGACATCTTAGAGCATTCTAACATGCTCAAACCCCAATTTGATGCCCTCAACAAACTCATCAAGGCAATGATGGATGTAACCAAGTGCATTATCGCCTTCACAAAGCTTCCTTCTCAATATATTTCAAGTGATGCACCACCATTGTCAATTGCCATGATGCATGTCCCTACAACTCCCTATTGGATCATTAAGAGTGTTGTGGCTTGCGCTTCTCTCATAGCAAGCCTTGTTGACCTAAGACATGAGTAAGCCATAAACAGCCACCTATTAATCACATTAAAATATGAAGTTATGATACTTAAATAGCCAACCTTTTTCTCTGATTTTAGGTACATTGCATCAACCACAAAGGCCTGGGAACTCTCAAGCTTGGCCCATAAGCTTGGCAACATCCGTGACCACCTTTAGAAGCAAATCGCTATCTGCCATCAACATATTAGTGAGTCCCAAAGTTGGAGTTGTAAAAGAAGAAAAAAAATTATGATATATGAACTGTTAAAAACAATTTCTTCAAAACATCTTATTAAAATTGTGAGAAACTTGAAAGAGGGGAGAATAACTTGAAATTATCTGGATATCATAAAGAAAGAGAATATCACATGATGAGGAGTTTCAGCTAACAACAATGTTTACTAGTAGAGAAATAAGGGACTGATTAAACTCTCAATTGGATGCAGATGAGAAGAGGCATGTAAAAGCAAACAATAACATTGCCTACCATTTTACCATTCCTCACATGGACAACATGAAGATTCTCAGACTTTTGATTAATGGTGGCAAGGATGATATTCAAGCTCTCGTGGATGGTTCCACTAGAAATAGGGTTCGTTTCTAACTAGGCATCTTTTCCTTCTATTTTTCCTTACTTCATCACTAGTTTGTATGTATAACAGTAGACTTCTACTAGAAAAAACAGGTTCACATAGAAGTATTGAGAAGAAAGCATGTGTTACTTTTGATATCTAATCTTGATCTCTCCAACAAAGAGATTATGGTTCTTGAACAGATGTACAAAGATTCATAGGGACAGCCAGAACATCACTATGAGGTTGTATGGCTCCCCATTGTGGATAGGTCAGCTTGGAATGAAGGCCATCAACAAAAATTTTTGGAGTTGCGAGCAATGATGCCATGGCATACCATACACCATTTTTCCCTAATTGATCCAGTAGTTACTAGGTACATAAAGGAGGTGTGGCATTTTGCTAAAAAGGCCATTATAGTGTCTTGGATCCATAAGGGAAAGTGACATCCCAAAATGC